ACAACAGGCAATAAAAATCTAGTCACTCCATCTGCTTTTATAAACCACACAACTTTCTTTGCTTTTATAAACTTCAGAATGACTAACTCCAATTTCAACATTTTTAAGTGATGTCATTTAAGTGATATGTTTAGTTGAAAAAGTTATCTATGCAGAATATGAGTAAGTTGATTCCGGAGGTGGTGATTGCAGTGTTGAAATATAGAACTGAAAATAAAGGTATAAATTTAGGTACTTATTTCTTATGAAAAATGTTCTTAGGAAAGATACTTTATTAAATATCTGTAGAAAAAAGGTTTTTTTAGTCTCAACAATTAAAATAGTATATTTTAAATTTATCCAAATTTTCGCCTCTTCAGGGAAAAAAACTAGAGACCATATCTTTCCTCCTAGTTGTCCGATCTTAACGATTTTTTTTTTATTTATAGGAAATTTCATAAACTTTTAAAAACCATAACAATATCCCCAAAAAAGTATATACCTTTTGAGTTATTCGGAATTTAATTTTACCATCGCTCGTAACTTTTTTTCCAGCTTCTTTTCGTTGAAGTATGTTATATAGATAAATTTAAAGGGTGTCGAGAAAATGACTTTAGCGAAGTTTCATTGAAATCGGTACATTCGTTTAGGCGCTACAGTCTATAGCAACGCAGGTTTTTCTGCATTTTTTTTTTCTCCTTTATTAACTTATCAAATTCTTTCAAAAGTTATATTTAGCATTTTTTCATTACTTTGAATAATGTGAAATGATTAACTTTTTAAAATAAACCATATTAAAGGTACTTTAGAGGAAGACGTATATGAACATTGGGCATTTAAGCCCTGTAAAGTGACATCAATGGGGATAAGACCTAATTGATATTAAAGACCACTTAATTATACAATGATACACCGAGTTTAATCAAAATCGTTAGAGCCGTTTTTGAGAAAATTGTGAAAATGTGTTTCAGCGTTGATATAAAGTGGCACTTCCGGTTAGCCGATTTTAAGGAAAAATTTCCGTTACATCCAAGGCATATACCTGTCTTAAATACGCAATATCAGTTTCGTAGGACTTTTCGTTTTTGAGCTAGACTGCTAACATACAAACACACAGACCATTTTTCGGGACTTGGTCATTTCGACTCAGGGTACCTCAAAACGTCTATTTCCGTTGAAAACTCAGATTCAAAAATTTTCTCGATCGCAATACTTACCCTTACTATATATTACATATATACGTAAGTGAAAGTAAAAAAAAAAAAGGTTTTTTTGATTATAGCTTCATAACTCATTACAATATTATAATTACCAATATTTCAAAATATGTTACAAGTTTGGGAATAAAATCTACTAGAGAAGCAATTTTTGAAGTATCGTCTTGTCAAAAAAAAAATGCAATCTTTAGCGAAAGAAGATAGGTATGTTTGGTGTCAGGAAACAAATGAGCCTGTGTCGACAACTTTATATCACAACTATACAACACACCTTTATTCCTCTACATATCACTATCAGTAACAAAGGATTACAACTGTCTGGGTAACCTCACCCGGGCCAACCTGTTTTGTTTACAACAGCTTAGCAGTGCTGCCTGATAACATGCAGTAACTCTACATACTCCCACCTTTACAATGTATGCTTTAAATTGTAAACTAATTTAAAATAACAAAACAAAATTTAAAATATGCAATACAGAAATTTACAGGTTAAATCGTTAATTTAATAACACTTAATAAACTACATTAACAAATGTTTTCTGCTTCCTTTTTTAAGTCTTAATAAGATCACTGGCTAACAACACTACTCTTCTCAGCTTTTTTTTTTTCTTCTCTTTCAGTTTTAGAAAACTACTCCACCAGAAAATTTACTTGTTAAACTTTCAAGCTTGACATCGTGCTCAACTTTTGTTTTAACATCCCCATAAAGGTTATGTGAAAGTATTTCTTTCTGTAATTTGTCTCTTGAAGAACTGATAGTTTCTGAAATATCGTCATCATGCCACGTTTTACTTGAATGATCAACCAAAGCAACAAATTTATTTTTTATTTCTATCCGCTTGTCCTGATAACTTATGGATGCATGAAATTCATCCTCAGTTCTTTTTCATCAACTAGTACCAAAGTTCTTACCTTTTTCTCAAACTCTAATAGATGTTTAGTACTTGCTTCTAGTTTTCTAAATTCCTTTTTGAAGACAGCATCTTTTTCAGCTATTTTCTTTTCAACCGAAGTAACTAAAGCTGTAAATAAATTCTCCACAGAGCTCTTTCTAATTTGGCAGTTTTCAACTCTTCAGCACCCATTATCCTTAATTTCCTACACAAGGAATGCCACTATGTGACGTCAGGAAATCACTACAGGAAACAAATGAGGCTATATTGATAAACTTTACATCACAAATACACAAAACACCTTTATTCCTCTACATAAACATCACACTATTAGGAACAAAAGACTACTCCTGTATGGGTAACCTCACCCAAGCCAACCTAGCCTTTGTTCACAACAGCTTAGCTGCTGATAACATACATTAACTCTACAGTATCAGTAATCATAATCCCTGAAAATTTCTTTATATACTTACAAGATAGTACTTTAATTTTGGAGGTACATAACATTGGCAGCCGAAATGGCAGACACAAAGGTGCAAGTGAAGTTCTAAATTTAAAAAAAAAAAAATAGTACATTCAACGATAACTAAGATTCAGAATCACCAATAATGTTAGCTAAAACCTTATTTAACCAAGATAGGGAACACATACTATAGAACTAGACTTACATGACCCATTTAACTACCTTGACTAGAGATAGACAGACATACACGCAACTAAATTTGTTCCTTAATGTCATTAAATAGAAATAGCAAAATTCTCTGTCTGATCACATAATTATTTTTCTAACCTACGAAAGAAAACTTTTCGGTAGTGAGGAAGCAAAATATATTTTTAAAACAAAACATATAAAGTACTTTTTTTAAAAATAATAATGGCAATTAGTCATTTAATCAAGAGAGTGATTAATATTAATTAAAATCATTGCTGATTTAATTAAAATTATTATACTTTAATTACAATACTCTTAATTGAATCAGCAACGGTTTTAATTAATATTAATCACTCTCTAATTAGAATTTTAGGTATCAAGGGTCTACGATAACTAGAAAAAAACGAAATTGAAGAAGAGATTGAGGTTAGGCTGAAGGCGGGAAATACTTGTTATTTTTCGGGGACAAAACTACTTAGCTCAAGCCTCTTGTCCCGGAACTGAATCTGTATAACCATTATTTTACCTACAGTTCTTTATGGATGCGAAACGTGGCCGCTTACATTAAAGGATGAGCAAAGGTTTTCGAAAATAAAGTATTGCGTAGAATATTCGGACCGAAGAAGGAAAGGAGTTCATCGGAGAGTTCAGACGGTTACACAACGCCGAATTGCGTGAACTGTATCGGGTTAATATAATTGAGGTGATTACATCGCAGCCAAACAAATGGGATTGTAAAAATTTTGAGCTTGATAACAAAAGAACTCCTAAAAGGTTAATATTTGTCGTACGGAATGGTAAACGTCCAAGGGGTAGACCGAAGCGAAGGTGGGATGATTGAGTTAAAACCTATCTGATGGGACTAGGTTTGGACGGCGAACGGTGGAGGGAGGTGTGTATTGGTGGTGTCGGCTTTGAATCTTAGGCCTTTCGAAGCCTTTTATTATTAGATAGATAGATAGATAGAAATTTATTTGTTTTGGGGGATTCCCCATACAAATAGAGCCTAGCTTGGCTATTGTAGAATAATATGGTTTTACAAGTTATATACATATCATTTAAAAATAAATAAAATTTAAAATATTTTACGTTTAGAATATGTTTTATAAAACATATATAACAACAAAAATTAAAAACAAAAAACGATTACTGCATAATAATAGTTATATGAACCTGTTACTATGATAAAAAAAAAAAAAATATATATATATATATATATATATATATATATATATATACATATATATAAACAAAATATTACTTTTAAGATAAACTAAAAAGAAACACTTAATAGAACATGGGCTAAGACAAATGGTATTATTTGTATGTATCGAATGTTTTAATGTAGCCATCATATAGATTGTTTTGTTTTTTTATTTATCAGAATATCCACTTTAAATTTTTTTTATTTAAGAAACGAAAAAATTTTATTGGTATTTCCATAACTATTACTATGGTAAATTTTCTTTCTTTATTTTACTTTTTTTAAGAGATTAAATAAATTTTTAATTATTGATTTCATTTTTAAAAATAAATTATGAAGCGTCTTGTTCAGTGTGGAACTATCATTTCTAGGCCAAAGGTTTGTTGTGCCACAAGAAGGTTTCAAACTCCTGGATCGATCCACGACTGATAAACTAAAATAAATATTTATCTACCAAAGAATCGAACCTGAGTGAGTTCAGAAGCATAGGAGCACTGTGCCTTATTCGGAGAGCTACTCCACTCCCTTTAATTTTTATGCAAACTAAAATTATTTATTTAACATTAAATTATTTTGTTTAAATAACGAACAAATATACCTCCAATTTGTACCTTTCTATATTTTTAGATCATCAATTTTTATTTTCTTATAGCTTATATAACTAGACAATCAACCAAAGTTTTACTACAAAATAAATTGTTGCTATATACAAGAACCATTCAAAATTAAATAGAGGTAATTGAAAACAAAAAAGGAACCAAAGAAACCCATTATTAATCAACGATATTTATATGCATTTATAATACATAGATACATAAATATATTAATATATCTTTATAGAGAGAAACTTTAGTCTTTTGTTTAGGAAGAAAATACCACTTAGGAACTGGTGTTCAAAATTACTCTTACTGAGTAGAGAAAAAAAATGTATTTAAAAAAATTTAAATATTGAACATGTGATATTTAAATAAAAGTTTGAAGTCTAGCTGACTTTGAATTTATTTAAAATAAAATTCAGTAAAGTATTTTGTTGAAGTTCAAATAATCAAGAAGAAATGGACTTTATAGAATGCGAAAATCCCACTACAACGAGTAAGTATTAAAAGAATAATAAAATAATGTAAGACAATTAAATCCCATCAAATCACCTTTACACTTCATCGTATGACTCCATTTACTAGACTTTCCTTTAATAATACTCCACTTATCCCTGTCGGACAAATCTCATACCTAGAACCTAGACAAACGTCTTACTTGGAATCTTCATAATTCATTGAAACGACAAGAAACCGCTCGATGTTTCCGACTACGTCAGCAGTTACTAGGGAAATGCTCTAAGCTTCCAATTAATTCCAAAAGATTAATACACATGATTATAAATAAGGCCTATTTGGACTTACAGAGCTCTAGGGCTTCACCAAACCATCGAATTTCTCTCGTATCCAATCTTTACAATCGAAAATCCCTCGTAAAATCCTTAATTCTCCTTAATTTGACACAAACAAAATCATTCTTAAAGATCTTAATGCTCCGTAAGTTTCTGATTTATCCCAATCGAGAAACTAATCCTTCCATAATAAACTTCAGAACCATCCCAACTCTCCCGTTTCGATTTTTTCTTCCCCGTCGATTCCTGATGATAAAAGAAGATGGTACCGCAATCTCCTAATGCAGATATATTATTAGTGTGGGTCCAGGGATAATCCGTGGTACAGGCACCTTTTTATCAAATTATTAACATCCGCCTAAAATTTCGTAAATGGATTCATCTTATCGTAATCTAAAAATTGTTTATAAAAAAAATACAAAAATCCTCAGAAATGAGACGTTTTCTCATTAAACTAATTAATTTAAGTGGCCTTCAAAAAAATCGGACCGCTTGGCCTATATAACTTCATCATTTTGACATGTTGAGTGTGGAGGTCACGCCAAACGGCCCAATATTTAACAGTTAACGAATCGGAGACAGTGGAGACTTTATAAATAATGTTTTTATTCATAATGTTACAAGTGGCATCTAAAATACTGAATAATATACTATGGATATGTGGGTTGATTACATCAGTTCACTCCAGGTCTCCTACAGTGAAGAGTCTGACTCAAGAATGCAACTGCATGAGTGGTTTGGTCTGAGGATCATGGGGGTTATATGCTCAGGAATAGTAGGGGGGATGAATCAATTCTGGACGGTCTAGGAAGCGTGTGAATGAAGTTATAACTATTAAGAATTGATATCCTTATCTTTTAGAATTGATATGAAGTCTTTGAGAAAGTGCTCGTTTGTTGAAAACGGTTATTGGTCCCTAAGTCTTGATAAGTGTCTTCTGTCCAGTCAATACATTCTAGATAACTATTTCTAAGCTATCAGAGATAGCTTGACCTGGCTATCTAGGGCTTTGTGCTTATATGCTTTGATAAAGGTCATGATAAAGGTCAATGAATGATTAAATGATTAAATTAAATAAAAGTTAATATTAATAGTTGTTACGGGTTAAGTCCATTCCGTAACTAACGAACTATATCGACCACGTTTTTCTCGGGTTTCAGTTCAAATTATTTTACGAATCAAGTGAAAAGCAAACAGGTGTTCATGAGTTTTTAGTACTTAATTAAATAGACAAAGTTTACCGACCTCCAGATTGAAAACGCCCCAATTCCGAGAATGTTTGATAAATAAAGAGTTAAATAAATAAATAAAGAGGTAAATAAATTACCTGCCAAAAATGCAGGTGAAATGAAGCTATTCACGAAGTTTTAGGCGGATGTAAATGATTTGATAAAAATGGTTTTGTACCATGGACCATGGGTACACTCCCAACAAGTCTATTCATGTAACCATATTCATTTTATGATATATTTTTATTTTTATACAGTTCTAAATAATAAAACTTTTCTCGATCGCAATACTTACCCTTACTATATATTACATATATACGTAAGTGAAATTAATTACCCTTACGTATATATTACAAATATACGTAAGTGAAAGTAAAAATATTTTAAAATCGCGATATCTCTACTAATAGTGCTTCGATTTCGATGAAATTTCTTTCATATTTTAGGAAATTTAAATACCTTTGAAACCTCTTATCATAATATCGACGAAAAAGTTTATTCTTGTTGAGTTATTCGGAATTTAATTTTACGATCCCTCGTATCTTTTTTTCCAGCTTCTTTTCGTTGAAGTATGTTATATAGATAAATTTAAAGGATCTCGAGAAAATGACTTTAGCGAAGTTTCATTGAAATCGGTACATTCGTTTAGGCGCTGCAGCCTATAGCAACGCAGGTTTTTCGGAATTTTTATTTTTTTCTGCTTTATTAACTAACTAATCAAATTCTTTCAAAAGTTACATTTAGCATTTTTTGTAACTTTGAATAATGTGAAATGGTAACATTTTTAATATAAACCATATTAAAGGTACTTTAGAGGAAGACGTATATGAACGTTGGTATTTAAGCCCTGTAAAGAGACATCAATGAGGATAACGCCTAATTGGAATTAAAGATTACTTCATTATACATTGATACACCGAGTTTAATCAAAATCGTCAGAGCCGTTTTTGAGAAAATTATAAAAATGTGTTTCAGCGTTGATATAAAGTGGCACTTCTGGTTAGCCGATTTTGAGGAAAAAGTTGCTGTAACATCCAAGGCATATACCTATCTTAAATACGTAACATCAGTTTCGTACTACTTTTCGGTTTTGAGCTAGACTGCTAACATACAAACACATAAAAATAAATTATGAAGCGTCTTGTTCAGTGAGGAACTATCATTTCTAGGACAAAGGTTTGTTGTGCCCCAAGAAGGTTTCCAACTCCTGGATCGATCCACGACTGATAAACTAAAATAAACTATCTACCAAATAATCATAATAAATAATAATAAATAATTTATCTACCAAAGAATCGAACCTGAGTGAGTTCAGAAGCATAGGAGCACTGTGCCTTATTCGGAGAGCTTCTCCACTCCCTTTTATTTTTACGTAAACTAAAATTATTTATTTAACATTAAATTATTTTGTTTAAATAACGAACAAATATACCTTCAATTACTTAATGATACATTGATACACGGAGTTTAATCAAAATCGTTAGAGCCGTTTTTGAGAAGATTATAAAAATCTGTTTCAGCGTTGATATAAAGTGGCACTTTCGGTTTTGAGGAAAAAGTTGCTGTCACATCTAAGGCATATACCTATCTTAAATACGTAATATCAGTTTCGTACTACTTTTCGGTTTTGAGCTAGACTGCTAACATACAAACACATAGACACACAGAACATTTTTCGGGACTTGGTCCTTTCGACTCAGGGTACCTCAAAACGTGTATTTCCGTTGAAAACTCAGATTAAAAAAATTTCTCGATTGCAATACTTACCCTTACTATATATTACATATATACGTAATTGAAAGTAAAAAATAATAATTTAGACAATAAAAATATATAAATGGATTAGATTATATTTAAATAATAAATCAAGAGTAAAATGAACTATGTACGCACAAGTACCATTAGTACATTATGGTGTTAGGTTATGGCGAAGGTTCACTTACAACATAGCCTGGTGTTCATGTTTCATAATATCCATGTCCCATATTGCCACGTACAATAGAGTTTGCTCTCTCGAGTCACTATAAACAACTAACTTCACCATGTAGTCCTAAGCTTCTCAAGATATTAACAAGGTCTTGGGGAACGTGTATTATGGTTTAAGGCATATTGCAATGAGGATAATAATGATAATGAGAAATAAATAAATCATCAAACAATATTTCTAAAGATAAATTATCACAATGATCAGGAAAATGTTCATCATTTTATCCTCTTTATAATGAGCTATTATTTATAATTTATATTTCATATTATTAATCTCGTCTTGTTGATGTTTTTATTTATACAGTGTGGCCTAAAGCACGCACCTTTTTTTTTCATAATTAGTAATTTACTAATAAATATAGACAACAATTTCGATTGGTTCAGACTCTAAACATCAAAACAAAGGGTTTCAAGTTTGCAGGAAAACGTTTGAAAAATTTGTAGAACACCATATATTTTCATCAGATTTCAAATATTCTTTTTTTTATGTTTTTTTTGGGGGGGAGGGGAATTTCGTAAACTTCCGAATGACCATATACAACTTCAACAAAAAGTGTTTACTTTTTGAGTTATTTTGAAATCCAGTTTTACCTCCTTGTAAGTTTTTTCCTTAATTTCTTTTCGGTGAAGTATGTTGTATAGGTAAATTTAAAGAGCTTCAAGGACAGGACTTTGGCCAAGTTTTATTAAAATCGGTGCATTAGTTTATGCACTACAGATTTTTCGGCCGCCATCTTGAAAGGAAGGGGCGGATTATAATGCCTAGCTCCGAGGATCATCCTCGAGTGCCCTTTGACATTGATAACTAATCTCAAAACAATCGGTACAGTTATCTCGAATAAAAACCACGAACGAATGGATTTTTGTATTCGATTTTCGGATTCTAGGTATCTTGAAACATAAAATCTCAAATTTTAAGAGGTTCGACCTTTTTTTTCTTAATCGATTACAAAGGTTAATTAATGAAAATAATAAACCAAAAATTTATTCCAAATAAAATCATTATATAAGTAGACAAAGGAAAATCAGTTCAGTCCCATTTTCTCTTGTTTCTCAATATATTTTCTTTTTTTCTTTAGTAGCTATTGACGAGCTTAAGTATTATAAATAAAACAAATTCACAAACGCTATATATATATATATATATATATATATATATATATATATATATATATATATATATATATATATATAGAAGGAAGTTAGTCGACTATTCCGACTATTCTAGATATCATGGGTGATAAATATTCAGGACGCAGTTATTATAAGGTTAGTGCCGACGTTTCAGCCCAAATGTCATCATCAGGGCGTGGTTCGAGCACTGAAGATATTCAAGTACTGGAATATCAGTTTCCAACGGTCCTATGGTTATCTTGAGTCGAAATAACGAAGTTCCGCAAAATAGTCTGTGCGTGTGTTAACAGTTTCAAATACGTTAAGTCGTACGAAAGTGAAATTGCATAGTTAAGGTTTTTATATGCTTACGATGT